TTGGTATAGTCTCTTTGTTTTATTGGCAGATCGAAAGGAAGTATTTGAATTATGTTTTCTGGAATTTGGTTAGGATCATCTGGTAGTTGTTCGAGTTGTAGTGTAGTTGCACCTTGTATTATTTCATGTAGTTCCTCGTTGTTTTCAATCATTTTGTCTTTGGTGAAACCTTTGTAATATTTGATAAGATAGTAGATTTGCTTTGTTGACAATCTGTAAAACTTTGTGTTAGTTAGATAATCAATCATGATTTTTTGTCGTAGTTTTTGGTGAATTAGGTCTCTTGTTTGTCTATCAGACATAGTTATTTTGTTATTTGTTTTATATTTCTTTAGAGCTTCTTGGAAGAGGTTTTTGTATGCTTCTTGGTGCTGTGGAGTTGATTTTTTTTCTCTCGTAAAAGTAAGAAAGAAAGTAGCATCTCTGTGTCTAAATTTAGCTTCAATTGCTGGATGTAATGCCTGGTTTGTAGGTTTAGTATGCATTTTATATTGAACAAATTCTTGGATTCCTTCTTTGCTTTGAAGTGCAGTTACTATTTTGTCATAGTTCTATAGAGCTTTGTTGAAGACTTGATCTACTTCTTTTTCTAATTTTCTATTAATTTCTTGTGTCTATTCTTCTGTATAATCAATCTGTTTCATGCTTTTTTTGTTGTTAGGCTGTGTTAAGTTTTTTTGTGCCATTTGGCTGTAAGTCACTTGTGCTACTGATTGCTCTACTGTTGTATTACTGCTGATTTCTATTTCCATATTGTCACTGTTTGCTAATGGTATTGTGTTTTGGTTTTCTGTTGGTTGTACTCTGTTGTTGTTGTTTTATGTCTGTTCTTGTAAGTTCACTATGCTATTCTGATTGGATGCTATGTTTATGCTACTGGTTTGTTGTGTTGTCATGTTCTGTTGTGAATTGTTGCCTATTTTGGATAAGTTGTTGTTGTCTATTTCTATTTCTGGCATTTCATTGTTGGAACCTGTTTGATCCAGTTTTGTTTTGTTGTTGTGCTCTGGTGATGATATCATTTTTGATTTTATTAGGGGTATTCTAGTTTCGCCACTTTTTGACCTTTTGTATGGTAAAGCAGAGTTGGTACGAAGTTTTTTTGCCTTTGAAGCCATACTATCTATTTCTGTTTTGTTTTCTTTTGGATTTGTTTTTCTGTTGTTGCTACTGGCCTTACTTCTAGTATTATAGCTTTTCATTTGGATTTGCTTTGCTGCCTCAAACATAAATTTGTATGTTGGCCCAAGGGCCTGTTGCTCGACTGTTGTGTTTTTAGTTGTTATTGTATTCCTTTTGCGCTTTATCTTGTCTGTCTAGTAGTGCTGCAGTCTGGTTTTGTTATTTTCTTTGTCATTCTAGTAATTTATTTATTTAAATTTGCTCAGTTTTTCTTTTGTTTATTTTCCTTATATTTTTTTGTGATTTTCGAGAAAGAGTTTTTTTTTTGGAACCTGAGTAATTTAGGATTTTAAGGCAGAGACAACAATAGATAATATATAAAGATACTAAATATTATATTCAGTTTATTAACTATGAAATATATGAAACACTTCTTATTGAAATGTATGAAGACATTTAACTTTCTTGAAGGGTCAGAAAGTAGTGCTTTTATAGATATTTTATATGTATAAATAATTATAATAAAGACTACTTTATTGCTAATAAATACTATTTATAGTAATAAAAACTAATAGATATAATAGATATAATATATATAATAAATATAGTAGATATAATAGAAATGATAGATCTATTAGAAATGATAGATCTAATAGAAATGTAATATCTGTAATATCTGTAAGATCTACAGTACAAGACACTTAGAGATGGGAAGTATCCTATTTTGATATTCAAAAATTCAAATTATCTAAAAAATCGATTTTTGGTATTTTTAATTTTCTGCATTTTAATTGACCAGATTTTCTGTAATTTGATTGGCTATATAACAAATATTAAACATCTTAACTTGACTTTAAAAGTTAAATTTTTATTAAAGTTTGGTTTGAAATCAAGCTTGAGACTCAACTCACATCTGCATATATGCTTTGTATATTTAAATATATATATTTCTTTTGCTATATTGACATATTAGATGCATATACAAATGCGAGTCAAGTTCTAAGTTTGACTTTAGACCAAACTTTAATAACAACTCAACTTTTGGAATCAAGTCAGACCAGACTAGAGATATAAACTTAATTAAATTTAATTATTAAAGTTTCACTATATTGAATGATATAATTTGAATGCTATTCAAACTAACATCAAAAGTATTATTCAAATTATGTTATTTAATATGGTGAAACCTTAAATTTTACCAGTGTTCAAAAATATTGTTTGATAATTAAAATAATTACAATAAAGCATAACTAAATTTAGAATTATAAAAGCAGAAATTTGTAAATTATCCAAGGCAACCACCAAAAGTGTGAGTTATATAATGATATTATAATTAATGCATTATTACAAACCTGCACTTTTGGTGATCACCTTGCAGAAAGAAATTTGTTACAGAAATTTAATAATAATTTTATAATTGATATGATCAATTTATTTTTATTATAATGGAATCTCTTTCAAACTTGTTTTAATGAACTTATACACAATTACCAGCCTTTTAAATAGAGCAAAAATTATTAAAAATCTTTAGATTTCATAATGCCAAATTATTTAAGTTTATATTACTAGACCAAACCAAACTTTTACATCCTAATAATACAAAGATATTGTAAATAAAATATTAGTAAATACAATTCACAAAGTTTAATTTGAATTTAATCCTAGTAATTATGCAATATTATATGAATACTAGATTTACATTTTAATAAAAGTGTATCTTTATAAACTGTACAATACTGTATATTATCATTACTTATTAATACAATACATCAATAAATTATTATTATTATTGCTTTAATTGCTTTGCTTTTTATTTGTTTAAAAGCTTCACTTTACATTTATTTCATACATACAAAAAAATATTTGTATCTAACTACTATTCTTCATAAACAAAGCTAATTCATCCTGGGGAATTTGTCTATGTGATTTGAATTCTTACATGCATATTTAGCTAATTTACTTGTTAATCTTTTATGATACAACTCCATATATCTCTATGATTTTTGAGCAAACTTTCTAATTGTAATAATATCTACTAAATTATGTGTTTGTGGAACAGTTTTATGCAAACCTTCTCATATATAGTTATAATAGTTTTTTATATAGTTTTTGGCTACTCCCTAGTACATTTCAATAAAATTAAGTTCGCAGTAGAACTTTGGATAAAAAACATATATATGACCAGCATTCTCAATTAACTCTATAATAGCTGGTTTTTGGGTGACAAAATCTGGTTGGGTAGTCATAATTTTTCTTAGACAGCAGCTTATTCACAAAGGATCCCTTTTCAATTTCTTATTCTTACACAGCTGACAGTCTAGATTTAATTCTTCTTTCCAAAGTTCTCTTTTTTTCAATACTTTTCTTATTCCTTTTGGTTTTTTTCACATGGCTGGATTAGGGTAATTCTCTTTAAATACTAATTTTTGTATTCTTTGTACTCTATTAGCATTAATAAAGGTAGTTGGTTGCATTACTAGTTGTTTTTTACCAGGTCCCAGATTCATTCTTTCTGCCAAAAGAGCATTTTTCGCATATCTGGCATAACTTGTACTATTATCGAATGCAAAAACAGTGATTGCATTAGGGAATTTCATTTTAAAAATAGGAATAGCCTTATCTCTAATTTGCTCAAGCAAATGTTTAATTGTCTAATAACCCTCTTGGTTTTTTCCAGATACAAGATAACAACATGCCTCTGTAGAAATATCTGGGTAAGCATTCATTTTTTCTTCACTTAGTCATAACCAATCACATGTTTCTAAAAGGAATTCATTTATCATAATAGATCTTTCATTTTCTTTTTTTCGTAATGGCATATTTCCATCCAAAACCCAAACATTTCACATTTCATATTTCATAAAAGATACACTCATTATGAGTGACTAAGATTAGTTCTTATTCATTAACTCCAAGTACTGGTAAAATTGGCACCATTTGTTTACGTTTATATTTTATTATACATCTTTTTTAAAGCTCCATATTTTTTAAAAATTCTTTTCAATATGCGATGATGTCCTCTTTCTTATGATCATCAATATACATATCCTTTCTGTATTCTTTGTATTGACATCCCAAAATTTTTAACCACCTTCTTGCTATTTGAATACTAATTGATTTTTTAATTCTTCTAAGAAATTTAGGTAAAATGTAATCATCAATATATTGTTTAAATTGATTTGGATTGATACTATTTACACCTAATTCTTAACATATTCATTGTCGACATTTTAATACAATGTCTTCATTATCTATTAATTGCTTGTATTTTGAGTATTTACTATGATGAGAGATAGAAAAAGATCTATAAAACAAATAAAATTTAGCCAGCAAATAGATTCTTTTAGTAGAAGATGGTTTCAGAGAAATATAAACTATATTTACTACTTTCTTACTTGCTTTTATTTTACTATTGTCATTATGTAACTGAATAAAATACTTATAAATAGCTTATCATTCATTATATTTAGAAGCTTTAAAATTTTTTTCATTATTCAAAAGGTCTTTGTAAAGTTGTTCAATTCTTTCATTAAGCATGGCAGTGTTGACATTAAGAGTTTTTACACATTTTTGACTATAACTTTTGATGTACCGAACCAATTTGGATGAAACAACCACCATTGGATTCAGCTCAC